TCTTCAATCTCAATCTTCAATGCCTAGTCTGATTCCGGCCTTAATCGTTGAAGTTCACCTTTTTTTCCCCTCGAGACTGGCCGAAATCGTCGTAAAGGCCATCACACGTACAAAAATTTTAGTCGTAATCGTAAGGCCGTAAGCAAATCGGCCAATCACAATCGAGCGTTTTAAAACGCGAGATCGTAATTTTGATTGTAATTGGTAGATTTGCTTGCGATCTTATGATTACGACTAAAATTTTTGTACGTGTGATGGCCTTAAGGCTGCGATCCACTTGACGCTACAAACGCTTCGAAGCATTCTTTGATTAGTCAATTCGTAAAATTCTTTGTTCTGATTGGTCGCTCAAACGCTTCAAAGCGTTTGTAGCGTCAAGTGGATCGCAGCCTATAGGTCTGTTCGCGTTGCTTACACTTTTGGCACTCGACATCTTCGTTTTCTCTCTTTTGAAGGCTAAATATATATCTATCTCATTTTAAGTGCAAAAATATTTGGCGATTTCATGCAACGCGAACAGACCTTATATCGACAGTCTACTATGGCTGCGTTCAGCAGAACGTTTGTTTTGCAACTGTTGGAAGTTTCCTTCGCGCTGATTGGATCATACTTTTAGATCTAGAAGAATGGTCCTATCTCAACAGACAATGGGTGCGTTCAGCAGAACGTTTGTTTTGCAACTGTTGGAAGTTTCCTTCGCGCTGATTGGATCATACTTTTAGATCTAGAAGAATGGTCCTATCTCAGCAGACAATCATAAAACGGTTGCAAAACTGTTGAGTCTGCTGAACGCAGCTTATGTGGCGAACTGCGCATACGCTATGGTGAATGGTCACATGTGGCATCAGGGAGGAGTAGTGAAGCCCCCTCCACTCTCGAAACTAGTCGATCTCTGGATCTTCGCCTATCTTCGGAAACTCTGGACAAAGTCATGGAGTCACGTGGAAGGCGTGGATGCCATTTTGTCATTTTATTCTAATCAAAGAAGTTATTGAGTAATTTTGAATAACTCAAAAATGGTTCTGGAAAATTTGAACGAGAGCAACGAAGACAACCATACAATGGATTGTGACGCAGATGAGTCGACACAAATTCAAAAGAAAATTATCGAGAAAAAAGGTAAAAAGATTAAAAGAGGAATAATCTATCTGTCCACAATTCCGAAATACATGAACGTCACGATGATCCAAGAGATGTTTTCTGCTTATGGGAAAATAGGCAGAGTATATCTGCAGCTAGTCGACAATGGTTAGTCTTAGATTTTTATTCTATCATTTATCGTGAATTATAGTCTAATTTAACCTCAAATTTAATTGTAATCTTTACGGTTATATAAAATGGTTTAAAAAAATTCTTTTGTTGTACTATATGGGCTGCGTTCCGAAATTTCTGGTTGTCATTGCGTCATTTTGGATGCCTTTCATTTAAATTAAAGTCTGTTTTCTGTGGCTAAAACTAGTGTACACTTTTTAAAATGAGATAGGTATATGTGTTTGATATTGAAAATGAGAAAGAGAGTTCTAGAACAGTCAATCTAGTACAGAAACAAAAAACAATCTAATACAGAAACAAACAACAGACTATAGGCCTGTTCTTTTTGGTTGAACTTTTGCACCAATTCATCTTCTTTTTTCCTGAAGAGAAAAGGAAGAAAGATGAACTGGTGCAAAAATTCAGCTAAAAAGAACAGGCCTTATTAGTGACACAAGCGATACAAATGTTGCCTTATCTTTCTTTGCATTCCATGAGTAAAACAACGATTTTTATGTCGATTTGTATCACTAAAGGCGATCTTTGGCGTGATTCAAATATAGTAATCGCACTGTACCGTGGCTAGGGCTATCTTCGTCTTCTGATCCCTGAAGACGAAGATAGCCCTAGCCACGGTACAGTGCGGTTGCTATACCTGAATCACCTCAAAAATCGCTTTAAATAGAATGCATTCTTTATCTTTGTGTAACATTTGGTGATAATGAAATAAAATTCTCTGAATTCCTGAAAATACTCATTAGTAAATACAACTTTGCTCCAAAAACTATATTTGTGCATAATGGCTATGATTACACCATGCGCTTAGTCTGGGACCTAAACAATGAACGTCCTTGTTTAACCTATAGGTTAAACAAAGACATTTATCACAACAATTGAGCGATTAAAATACCTGCCTTTTATGTTTTATATAAGCAAAAGATTGTTTAAAAAAATATGTTAAAATTATTTTATAATAAATTGTTTATTTTAAATTGGTTATTAAATATAACAGCATTTAATTTCAAGTATTGTAAGTATTTAAACATTTGTAGAGACACAATCAGTGAAACATAAAAAGAAAACCAAGAAAATAATCAAGTATTTTACTGAAGGTTGGGTAGAATTTGAAAGTAAAAAAGTAGCAAAATTTGTAGCAGAGACATTAAACAATACCAAAGTATCTACGAGAAAGAAAAGCAAATTCTACGATATTATGTGGAATATAAAGTATTTGCCTAGGTAAAATAATTATTTTATTTTATTTATTTATTATTTTTATTTATTACTCATTTAATTAATATTGTTTACATTTTACTTCTTAATTACAGATTTAAATGGGTTCATTTGAGTGAACGATTAGCATATGAACGTGCAGTCCATAAGCAAAGACTTCTAACAGAAATAGCACAAGCTAAGAGAGAAATTAATTTCTTCTCGTATAATGTAGACAGAAGTAAAAAGCTGCGTAGAAAACATGAACAAGGGGAGAAGACAACATTTGAATTGCCTGAAGTTAAGCAAAGGGATACTGATAATGAAATAAGAAACAGAAAAGCAAATACGCAAGTAGAAGACAGAACAGAGTTCCTTAAATCAATATTTGGATAAAATTTGTTAAAATGTAATTATATTATTGTATTTATAGTGATTAAGGATATGCAAAATAATGCAGTATTAGTGTAAAATATTTTGTATAATTAAACTTAATGTTTCGTATATTAAATATTAAAATTTAAAAATTCAAAATTAAAATATCCTAGGCTCAAAGGAATAAAAGTTCAAATTAATACAAAAGGGGCAAATAAGCCTCACAAAGATGTCAGTTGGTAAAACAAAATGATATTTGAGATTTAATATATATAAATATAATGATATATACGTTTCAACTTTCTAACCAACATTTAGAAGGTCGAAACGTATGTATCATTATGTTTATATATATAAGATTTCATGTGAGCGTGACATAGCAGCAGACAGCGCACTAGTATATTATGCCTAAAGTTTCGGGTTTGATCCTGGTAGGAACCAAAGTATTTATACTTGTGTCTCCTCTCGGAAGACCAACAACCTCCCGAGAGTTTCCTTGCCCATAGAAACATCTCTCGAAAATCCGCCATTCGGAACTGGCATTAAAATTGTAGGTCTCATGCTTGTGGCAATTGAATAGTCAAACCTTTTTGTTTTAATTTGAATTTTTATTAAATATTAAATTGTATGAGAATAATTGTATTCGTTACACACGTGTATGTAAATCATTTATTAATTAGTTTTATTTTAAGTCGGATACTATTAAAAAAAACTTTACAAATAGTAAAATATTATGTGAATGTGAAAAGTAATACCAATATGCTGCATTAAAAGAAAATAGCATGAATTATGATTTGTAAAGAACATAATTTATTATCTGTCATGCAAAAAATATTTTATTTACTGGTTACATATGAATTAATGTTATTACAGAAAACTGTGTAAAAGCTAAGAAAGTTATGGAAATAACATTCAGTAAACAAAAAATGCTCACAAAAGAGATAGGCGTAGTTCACCACTGATGAAGAATTCAAGACATCATCACAAGAAATTTTATTAGATGAATCGGTTGTTGTACTAAGCTAACAGCGTTGTCCACAGCGTTGATGTTATCTACAACAAATATGAACGTGATTGAAATAGGAGGTAATTTTTATTTTATTTTTTATATCTCATTTATTGTTTAATTAAAATTCCGTATAAAAAAGATATTACAAAATAATAAGTGATAGCACTGAGTTTGCTATCAGAAACATTGTAATAGAGGTTAAAAACGAAAATTTTGTAAAAGCTACATATAACAAACCAAATGAAATATTATGCAACTTTTAATAGTATAAGAAGAGAGAGAGCAAGTCGAGTTGTAATTTTATTTTTATTAACTTTGCGTATGAATCTTTCAAATTATGCTGGTATAAATGACCCATGGTTTACATAACGTTAATGAAAAACAGCATTTCACATGTAGGGTTAAAGTTAATTCAATAATAAAAAAAATTATTTTTTATATTTTTAAATAAATTGTAATAATATAATTGAAAGAGAGAAAAACATTAAAAAGGAAAACTAATTATTAAAAAATTATGTTAAAACTAAAGAATAAGGAAGGAAAAAATATTGGTACATTAGTTGCAAAACATAGATTGTAACATAAAAAGACTGCTATCATGGAAGTAAATTATTTACATACTATTAATAATCTGGAGTTAAAAAAATTTTTGACAATTATCTGAATTCATACAGAATGTAATTGATATATTTAAACACGCTATATTTAAAACGATACATAAACATATATGTATATCTCGTTTTAAATAATATATTTTGTTTTTTACTTTTTTTGCTCATAACAATTTAATTCATTTCAATGTTGGTAATTCAAGTTTTTAAAACGAGTTTAATATTATCTTTGACTCGCTAATAGATCACTTTTTTCTTTTTCTTTAATGTCTAATTCCAAGTTCCATTTGGTAGATATATTTTAAGCAATTTAATTTGCTGCCCGTATGATGTATTCGTGTAGCAATATATAACATAACATATTTATCTTCACTATTCTTTTATATATCTCGGATTTGTCTCCATGATATATTTCATAATGAATATAATTATAATAAGTTTGGCTTTTGGGAATTAGCGCTGTATTATGTGCGCGATAAAGGACCCCGCACCTATAACCCCTAATCCCTAATCCTATATGAAATTGGATCTCGGTGAAATGAAATGGTTTTCTCATATGTTACAGCTTATGACTTGCTAAACAAAACATATAAGTTTTAGCACAAAAAATGAACAGTTTTTGTGTTTGATTCACCTAAAATTACTATCTCATCATAAATTACTCAATAATTTCTAAACGGCTGACCTAAAATGGATAAAATTATAGTGTTTTGAAAAGATCTCATCAACAAGGACTATAAGAAAATGAAAAAAAAGTGGGGGTCTTACTTAAAAAATCCGTGTTGACCTTGTCATGATCTTGGCGATGCCACTCAAAGTCAAACTGATGAAGCAAGTGGCTAAGTCTTTTTAAACTCTACAACTTTTATCTGAAACATTTTTTTATAAAATTTATAGTTTTCGAGATATTTTGCCGTCTTGGAACATTTTATGTTCCTTATATGATTATATATGTTTATAATGGATTGGTGATGCTGGGTTTCACTTAGATTAAAAAATGATAAGAGCACCCGAAAGCACGTCTGCTGTAAGAGCTTTATTTGCCATCTTGTCTTCTTGATCGTCGCGCTCGCCGATTTCGTGTTAAACTCAAAGATGGTGCCGCAAGTAGTTATAAAGAAATGAACAATATATAATGCCCACATATAATTATATCCCACATATAATTACATACTATCATATATAATGTCCAAGATATGTACACATGTATAAAATGATACTTTGTTACAGAATATGTAGTGTAATTCCCTACTCTTAGCGTAATCCATGACCAACGACATGGACGTGGTAGGGGTCTGGTCTCGTGTGCGTGCGTACGTGCGTATGTGTGACCACACACAGGTCATAAGCTGTAACATATGAGAAAACCATTTTCACCGGGATCCGATTTCATATAGGATTAGTGCGGGGTTCTTTCAATGTTAAATTATATCTCTCATATTTAATTAAAAATTCGTATACATGTTTCGGTTAACTTTTTAATTATCTTCAGTACATACAATTGATTCCGTGATGAGTAAAAAGGTGTATTAGACGACAGTACATTTCATAATGGTTTTTTATCAGATGGTTACCGTCATAATACAAAATGTGAAAGAGTCCATTAATGTTACCTTGTCTTCTGCATAGAGAATCTGTAAACCTTCTTCGGTTTCTTTTATTGGTTTCTCCATCGCAGAAGTATCTAGATAAGGGGTGTGTATCCGTACTCTAACTCCCAATAGATTATCATTCTCTAAAGTTTGTGGATTTTCCACCTCCCCATCTTTATTAAACCAGTGATTATTTTGCATATTTTGAAAATGAAATGCTTACAAGGATCCGGTCCCAATCATGATTTAAATAGGTGGGTATGATTTAAAGTAATCTTAATAAGTAAAGAGCATTTAAGATCACGCAAGATCTTTGTTACAATAAATTTATTAATTCTGTTATATATAAAATTCCTACAAATTATCTATAGACGTTTCGACCTCTATCAGGTCATCAGTATCTCGTAGATAAAACAAACATAATTACACAACTATACGATGAACAATCATTATTAAGTTCGTTAAAATTTTTTTCCAATCAAACCCCTGTAGGTATGTTGACTTGTATGTAAAAGCATATTATCGCTCTTATCAAATTTTGTAGTCACGATTTGTTGATTTGTAACTATTTAATTCTCTCCAACAGAAATAATTATTCTTCCATTTATTTCGTTATTAGTTTCTTGTTTATCAATTTCTATTATTAATTTCTTGTTTATCATAGTGCCAAATACGAGAAATCGTAATTTCTATTACATAGATATACATAGTTTATTACACTATATACTCGTTATTATAGAGATTTCGAAAATTTACATTATTCCTGTGCTGCACGATGATCGTCCGAAATTCTTAATCTTCTTTATTTTTAAAGGCTCTGGATTGTACACGGGGAAGATCACTCCACGTATTGATTCAAAACTTTATTTATAGTTTATTTATAGTTTTTATACATAAAAAAGAGGACTCGGCCTCGTAATGTCTAAGGTCTCGACCTTATAATGATCGTGAAGAACTCGGTCCACGCTATGAGAACTCGGTCTCGATTTTACAATGTTCGCACAGAACTCGGTTCGCACAAAATGAGCAATCGGTCTCGCACGATGAGAGATTCGGTTTTCCAACGTCCTTACTCGCACGATGCGTACTAAATTCTGCTAGAGCTCTTCGAACCGAGCTCTTTATATAGGAAAAATCGTCGGTACTTGCGTACCAATCACAGCCGCCGTCGCATGCGGAGTGAACAAATAGTTTTTTATACGTATCGGCGGACAGAGAGGCGCCGATCGCGACGCCGGTCCGTCGCCTCAACGTCTTCGCTCGGCGAAGTTATATATGTGTATGCTATTGTGTAGTGGGCCCACCGAATACACGTAACAGGCTCTTCAAAGTGTCAAGTTAATGAAGTCAACTTGTAATAAAAATAAAGGAAGCAAGACACATCTTACTAAGAACATCTCAAAAATTGTAAAGAGTAGGGGAGATAAGAATAGGAGTTTAAAGTTGGTGTTGCGCAGGAGAACGACTCATTAAAATAGGAAGATAAATTTCCGGCAGTCTCTCTGTTACTCTGTTTATTCCACATTTCTATTTTTTAATGTGAATCATTCTGGATATTGCCCTCTTATAAAAAGATGATTCATTATTCAAAATTGACACATCCTCCCACAAAAATTCATATTTGTTTCCTAGATGGTGAAACGAATTAAACTGTGAAATCTTCAATAAATTTTATTGTGGTATTTGATAATATACGTTGGGTATTTTATTAATTTAGATATATCACTTTTACATTCGGATTAGGTTAGTGTACAACAGCTTTAATGTACTGAGTGCGCACCAGTTCTGCCAGTGAAAAACGCTATTATACGCAACCTTGCTTTTATTTAATTTTCATAACGAACGATCAAAAAATTAAGTACACGTCCTTACGAACAAAGGAAATCGGACTTCCTGTATCTATTAATCCCAACAGCGAACATCCTTTATAATTTAAACCCGTTATTTTTATTGGACGATTATTAATTTGAATTCGCTTATCGCATTTAATCCATATTTTTTTATATTACTCTAAATTTTTCTAATATATTTTTTAAAAAAGATATTGTAAAATATGTTACTGGATCTTTATTTGTGTTTTGATTTTTATTCATTTTCTCTTTATGATTCTTATATGTGAGACACCTGATACGATTGTTAATGGTTACGAAAATAAGTTTTAATGGATATTCATTCTTTCATAAGATATCAGCCAGAGAAATAGGAAAACGAATAAGAAATTGCTAAGCTAATGGATTAAAACGTTTTCTCAAGAATTACCTTCTTTTTGATATATTTCGAAAGAGACTGTTTTGTAGGTTTCAGTACAATACAAACGAGAATGCACTTGCACTGTCTTTTCGTTTATTTTATTATATAATTGTACATAAGTAAAGTCTTGTTCACGCGCACATGAAAATTACGTTTGTATGTCACGGTGTATTACACTGTTTATCGTTTGTAGTCCGTTAAATGCCCTATAATATGATGAATAACGTTGCTTACACGATATCTTGACCACAAGGTTCGTTTAGTTCTATTCTAATTCGACAACGCCTGGGGGCTGTTGCCCTAAGTCGAACTATAACGGGACGTTTAAGGGGCTAATGCCCAATTTCTTTTGCACGGATGCGCGATCACGCTTAGAGGTTGTGCCTTGAGTCGCGTACGATTCGGACACTCCCGAACGCCTTTAGGTTTTCCTTTATTCGCGATAACCATGAAATCCGACGTGTCTTCTAGAGATCTCTGTACGCAACTGGCTCTCCTACTTATTTTTCTGCCCGGCTCCCAACGCACGCGACCCCCGAATAGCCTCGGTCAGCCTTCTGATTGGCCGTCGATGGTTTAGAGAGACCGTCGATCGCCGACGAAGACAAAGCGATAAGCGTGGCATTTTCCGCCAGGATCGCCGGCGCCGACGATCCTTTGTATTGCCGCGCTCATGGCCTTCACACACGAATCGACGGAAGACGTAAAACGTAAATCGTAACCGTAGTACGTGAGCGCCATCACACACGACTGCCTTAAGCTGTAAGCTTCGACCAATCATCATCAAAGCAATTGCGCGAAAATATATTTCAAAATATCAAGCACTGGTATCAAGTACTGTTTGCTACATCTTTGCTTTTATATTGTATTTTTGTTCTATTGTGAAAAGTAAGTATATGTTAATAATAATATATTTACAATATCATATGTTTTGATATTTCATAATTCGCAAAGTAAACTAGTATATATTTATATCTTATTATTACAAAATCGTTAAAGCAATGAATGTCATTTATAACCTCAAAACTTAAATTTATTTATTATTTTTAAGTTTATATACTAGTTTATTCATTTTTAATTCAATTTTTTTGAACATAAAAGCCGCTTTGAATGAGAAAATTCAATGCCAATTTTAATGCAGGATAATCAATAAAGAAAACACCTTTCCTCAATTATGGATGATGGAGAGGAAATGTTGGGACTTTTGGTTCTGGGTGCTGGTTTTCTATTGCTGCGTCGCAGAGAAAAATCAAAAAAGTGGGCTAACAGAAGGTGGTGGATCCGTCCCATCAACTGTCAACGTAACAATCAAGGAGATTATATGAATTTGCTGCAAGAAATGAAATTAGATTCGGTGATGTTTTTTCGTTATACCCGAATGACATTACCACTTTTTAACAATTTGCTCGAAAGGATAAGAGCACATTTGATAAAAAGAAATTGGAGAGCTTTGGAACCGGAGTAGAGGCTCGCTATTACTCTCAGGTACACGATATTTTTTTTGTAAGTAAATAAAATACTGTGTACGTAGGGCTACGTTAACTGTTCTTACTTTAACACGAAATAGTTGACGTACTTCTACTTCTTGTTAATTGCGGCATAGTTTCTACTGTTGATTGTTGTGCTCATTGAATAATCTAACTTTTCAATATTACTACCGTACAGATATCTTGCAACTGGAGATTTGCCACTGTCTATTGCGTTAGCTTACCGTGTTGGTGAATCAACAGTTTATAAGGTAGTGAAAGAAACTTGCGATACGTTAATAAACGTACTGGCACCTTTATATTTGCGGACCCCAACCAGAGAAGAGTGGAAAAAAATTTGCAGTGGCTTTTGGAGTAACTGGAACTTCCCAAATTGTGTAGGGGCCGTAGATGGCAAACATGTGCAAATTGACGCACCGCCCAATTCTGGAAGCTTGTATTATAATTACAAGAAAACTTTCAGCATTGTGCTGATGGCAGCCTGCGACTATGAATACAAGTTTACACTTGTAGACGTTGGAGCTTACGGAAGCAACAACGACGCTGGTGTTTTTTCCCGATCCAATTTTGGACAAGCTCTGCTTGATGGAGAACTCGATTTGCCAGAAGGTAGAACAAGGTTACCTGGAAGTAATTCAGAGACACATTGTTTTTTTGTCGGTGATGAAGCATTTCAGTTGACAAAGAACATGATGAGACCATATTCTGGTAGAAATTTACCCGAGGACCAAGCAATTTTTAACTACCGACTCTCGCGGGCCAGAAGGACAATTGAAAATACTTTTGGAATTCTCGCAGCACGCTGGAGAATTTTTACTCACCCAATCTCGTTGCATCCTGATAGTGCGGACAAAATTATTATGGCTTGTTTGTGTCTCCATAACTTTCTTATGACAGAAAACAACCGATTGCAAGCAAGAGAGAGGACATACTGTCCGAGTCATTACATAGATACGGAATTGGACAATGGTGATGTTATTCTTGGAGAATGGCGAAAGGAGAATGCTACGGGAATTCAAAATCTTAGATCATCAAGCGCGCATCGAGCAAGAACCGAAGCATACAGTCAAAGAGATATATTAAAAGACTATTGTTTGACTCCTGAAGGTGAAGTAACATGGCAGTACGCATACGTGCGCAGAGGTTTCAATGGAGAAGATCCTTCTGAAAATTAATTTAACATATTAACGTGAATTCAAAAGATTAACATGACTTTTCTCATAAAATTAAATAAATTTTATAACAATAGGTTAGGAATTATAAGTAATTTGTGTAAAATACTGTATTTATTGTTTTAAAATACATTTCTTTCTTATAAACAGGCATTGTAAGGCTCATATAAAATTTGTAAGATTCTTTGCTTTCTACTTCTTTTTTCAGAATCTGGTAAGGCTCCCAACTCTGCAACTATTAATGAAGCAAATGAATTATCAGCAGTGCTTGCAGGTCCTGAATTATTTGGAGCCATGTAACGTTGCTGCATAATCTGAGTCAAATTGAAAAAAGATTCTTCCAATCCTTGGTTGCTCAAATCCTTGGTTTTCTTCTTCTTTGGCGTACATTCTTGCGAAGGTGGTGTAGGTGTTGATCGTGATCCATTTTGTAGAAGTGCTGGAGAAGGTGTTGATCGCGATACAGTTTGTAGAGGTGCTGGAGAAGGTGTTGATCGTGATCCACTTTGTAAAGGTGCTGGAGAAGGTGCTGATCGTGATCCACTTTGTAAAGGTGCTGGAGACAGTGTTGATCGTGATCCACTTTGTAGAGGTGCTAGAGAAGGTGCTGATCGTGATCCACTTTGTAAAGGTGCTGGAGACAGTGTTGATCGTGATCCACTTTGTAGAGGTGCTGGAGAAGGTGTTAAACGTGATTCACTTTGTAGAGGTGCTGGAGAAAGTGTTGATCGTGCCATCGAATGATTGAAACAGGAATCTTCCCATTCAGAAAAAGACTTTTGCATGATTTGCACAGTAGGCAAAGACGATCGAGTAGCTGCGAAAATGAAGGAATCAGTCCATATGTCATTACATTTGGAGTTGTAAAAGAAACGTTACCTGCATTAGATGAAGTGGTCGATATTGATGATAGCTCGCTATTTTCATTTAAAACATATATGGGCGACTCCGATTCAAAGATTGAATTCCTTTCGATATCAAATGCCAACTTGGGACACTTCGATGACTTCGACACATTAGTATACGACCTGAAAAGAACCATTTGACGTTAAGGCCCGAAGTTATACTGGTGGGAAATTGAAATTTTTATTTAATTACACTTGTAATTAATACTAGGCACCATTAATCAATACCAATGTTATTCCTAATTAGAGACATAATATTAATGAGCTTTAGAGTTCCCCAGTAAGACCTAAACTAAAAATTTTACAGCGACAAAATTTTTTATTTTTTTTTTTTATGAGATGCAGGCAAGCGGTAAGCTTAACATTTTTATTTAGTTATACGTTGAATAAGTATTAAGCACCTGTCGTAAATGTCAGACTTATATTTGCTATATAAGTAATATTTATGAAATTTAGAAACCCCCAAAGGGTGTGGAACTTAAAATTTTGCAACGATATAAGTGCGAGTGGGTTTTCGGGGGTGCTGGCTACGTTCAAACTTGAAATTTCTATTTATGTACGCTTTTAATGAATTGTAGGTAGCATTAGTGAATGTGAATTTTAGAATGTTATATAAAAAACATATTAATGAATTTTCGAGACCTCCAATAAGACTCGAACTAAAAATTGTGCAACGATATAAGTATTAATGCGCTTCAGGGGCTACTAGCGATTCACAAGCCTGAAATTTTTATTTAATTACATTTCTCATGAATTTCAGGAATTGTTGGTTAATAGTCAACTTATATTTTTTATGTAAATAATACTAATGAATTTTAGAGACCCCTTGTACTGGGCAGCATTAGTGAATATGTTGCGTATTAGCATACGCTTGTAAACGGAATACGTTGATCGGGGGGAGGGGTAACAACGTTCGTCAAAGGCAAAAAAAAATAGTTTATATTTTCATATACTTATAATTAATCATTAAATGTAATAATATAACTGTAATTGAATATGTGAATGAATTGTGGAAATAAGAAAAGGAAACCACAGATATTTCCATTAAAGAAAATGTATAAACTAATGAAGATGACGTGATTGTTCTCTTACTGAACCAAGCGCAAGTAATATGTAATATGTAAGTAATATGTGTTGTCCAATCAACTCGCATTCAAAGACAGATCTCGCCGATAACAACGAGGTTGTAAGCATAGAGGCGACTCACCTCTCAGATTATACATTCGTACATTAACTTCTCAATACATTCAACGTCGTGACACATTCCATGAGAAATCCTGTTACTAGAATCACAGGCACATTGTTTCGGTGAGAGAGATTAACTCGAATTAGTTATTATGAAAACTAAATGCAACGGTTCGCAACACAAGGCCAGTTCGCTATACTTAACCTTTACTAGTGTCACTAAACGACACTTTGAGATCGTCACAGAATGTATCACCTTCGCACATATATATACACATATATATAGGTCATTAGAGTGAGCACACTACAAAATGCATCGTAGTAATCAAATATCTCAAACATGAGCAGCAATATCTTACAGAGAGTATAGGTATAGCAAGGAATACTTATCCCAAGAGAAGAACGCTTGCTGGATAACTGTGTGTGTATACGCTTCCATCCAGCACAATGGTTTCGTCTAAATTGCCGATATCTGGCAGCAAGGAATGCGTATAGGTTTTTGAGCTCAGTCTTTAACCCACTCGCTGGGTTCTGCAACGTTCTATCTCCACCCACTCGTTGGGTTCCGCAACGTTCTATCTCCACCCACTCGTTGGGTTCCGCAACGTTCTATCTCCACCCACTCGTTGGGTTCCGCAACGTTCTATCTCCACCCACTCGTTGGGTTTAGCAACTTTTTGGATTTACCCACTCGCTGGGTTTAGCAACTTTCTGGATTTACCCACTCGCTGGGTTTAGCAACTTTCTGGATTTACCCACTCGCTGGGTTTAGCAACTTTCTGGATTTACCCACTCGCTGGGTTTCGCAAGACGATATTACGCAATACTCGCGTATTGCGCAATACTTACGCAACGCACACGTCCGAAGTCTTCGAGACGCAACAATGTAATGACAATGGCGGCTCAGGGAACATTTCCGGGAAGAAGTCCTGCAGCGCCATGAACAAGGCGTGCAGCGCCATGAATAGGAAGTGCAGCGCCACGCAGTAGGTGCAGCGCCACGCATAGGGCGTGCAGCGCCAAAGTAGGTGCAGCGCCACGAATAGTGCGTGTAGCGCCACGCATAGGGCGTGCAGCGCCAAAGCTGAGCGGGAGCACGTATGAATGCCCCCCTCCGAGTTGCCCCCACGCGCGAACTTTGAAGTAAGCAATTGCAGGCATCACTCGCAACAGAATATGAATTTTATAATTTTTTATAAAAATAATATTAATGAATTTTCAATTAATTTACTGTTCATTACACTCTTCATGAATTTTATGTATTTTTTTGGTGAATATAGAGAACATAATTTTTATGTAAATAATATTACTGAATTTCAGAGACCCATCGTAAGTCTCCAACGTAAAACTTTTCAACGACATACAAAATTCATTAAAATTTGTACGTAAATAAATTTTAAGTATGAGATTAGCTAGCGTCCCCAAAAATTCATTAAAATTTGTACGTAAGTAAGTGTTATGTATGAAATTAGTTACCGATAGCTAAATTCATAGAAATTTGCCCGTAAATAAATTTAAAATTGAGATTAGCTCCCGTACCCCAAAATTCGTTACGATATGTAAGTAAATAACTATTAAGTGTGAAATTAGTTACCGGTAGCTATAAATTAATTAAAATTTGCCCGTAAATACATTTGAAATTTAGATTTGCTCGCATACCCCAAAATTCCTTAAAATATTTACGTAAATAACTGTTAAGCGTGAAATTAGTTACCGGTTGCCAAAATCATTAAAATTTGCCCGTGAAGAAATTTTAAGATTGAGATTAGGTTGCGTCCCCCGAAATATATTAAAAGTTGTACGTAAATAAATTTTAAGTTCGAGATTAGCTTGCGTTCCCAAAAGTTCATTAAATAAGCTAATCTTAATCTTGAAATTTATTTACGAGCAGATTTTAATGAGTTTAGCTACCAGTAACTAATTTCATACTTAACATTTATTTACGTGCAAATTTTACTGAATTTTTGGGGATGCAAGCTAATCTCGAACTTAAAAGTTTTTTACGTACAAATTTTAATCTATTCGGGGGACGCCACCTAATCTCAATCTTAAAATTTATTTACAGCCAAATTTTAATGAATTTAGCTACCGGTAACTAATTTCACACTTAACAGTTATTTACGTACATATTTTAATGAATTTTGGGGTACGCGAGCAAATCTCAATTTTAAATTTATTTACTGGTAAATTTTACTGAATTTAGAGCTACCGGTAACTAATTTTACACTTGACAGTTATTTACTTACTACCCAGTAAACGAAAAATCCAGGATTTTTCAATCGCGGATTTTCCACGACTATAACTTCGAGCCTAAATAGAATAAAACTAGATTAATATAACAGATTATAACATAGACAAACATACTGCCTCCTTTTAATGTGTTTTTCTAAAAACATAGTTTCATACAAGGCAAATGTAGTCCGACGACTAGCTCCACTACCACTCCTTGTTTCTAATTCCATTTGTCGTTTTTCTCTGGCAAATTTGTCACGTAGTCTAGTCCATTGTACTTGACACTCTGAAACTACATGTTTTCAAGCTATCAAATGATGTACGTGTTATAGATTATTCTAATTAATCTTACCTGACATTTTCATAACTGACGCAATTTCTTTCCACGAATTCTCTTTCATTAAATTATTCTTGAAATTTTTATCTTGATGATTATACAGGTGAGGATAACCTCTAACGCAGTCAATAAGCAATTCGTTGGTTGATTTATCCGTACCATTGTCCATCACTTCATTAACCATCACTTCATTGTCCATCACTTCATTGTCCATCACTTCATTATCCATCACACGTTGTCCTTCACTTTCTTGAAATGAATAAAACATGTTACCTAAGCAGTATCTGTAATCACTCATTTATAAAAACAAAGCACATTGCTCTTGATATGTAATTTCAATCGCAATGTATGAGTATATAACCTCAAAATTTGCGTCAACAAATAAAATTTCAAGAACATATCGAGTTTAAATGCGAGAAGACATAAATATGATTGGTTGTACGTAAGACATAAATCGTACGAATTTCATCCTTACGAAATTTTTCACCGTTACGGTTTACGTCTTTCGTCGAAATATGTAGAGGGGAATAGTCAACTCTGATTGGTGGATTTCCTTACGATTTACGTTTTACGTCTTCCGTCGATTCGTGTGTGAAGGCCTTTAGTGTATACACTTTTGGTTAGGTTAGGAAATCTGTCGATGGTAGCATCGACGAGATACTATTAAAGACCGACA